TATATATATATATATATATATAATGCTCGGGGAAACGTTGAAACTTCGCAAGTAAGCTCCTAAGTCAATTTTAAGCATATTTTGTCTAATAAACTACTGGGATATTCCGAATAGTTGAGCCGCAATAAGCATTCAAAAGTTGGTTTGAAAAAATTGTCGAAGCTTCGTAATTTACTTAGACAATGGAAGTAAATACAATTATTATAGGTGCTGTGGTTGATAGACAAACTCAGTTTCGTTATGTAACGACTGTAGTTATCTCAGTTAATGTCAGATGGCAGTTACAGCAGTGTGAAAAAAATGGTGTTGAGCGATAAGGTGAAAGTGTTTTGTACTCTTGAGTATCATCAACATCAATCCATAGTCCATACCATAGTCAGCGCCATTTTTGAACGAAATACGGAAAGGACCCTCCTTCCAACAACTCTACTAGATCAACGCTTAATTTGTAGATACAGGCTGCTTCTGTAGAGGGCGAAGCAGTGGATGTCCCGTTGTGCCAGAAGCGGAAGTGAATCGGATCAGGTCAATGTATCTCCGAAGTTCTAAACAATCGACTACAAGATGTAGCAGGGAATTGATTACAGAATAGTTGTTACCTCAGTTGAAATACGACACGGACGATTTCCTACTACATCAGGTTGGCGCACCACCTCATAACAGGCATGTAAGAGCATTTGTAAACGATCAACTTCCACAGTGGTGGATAGGATGCCGACGGACCGTGATCAGATGCTCTTACACCTGCCACCACATTCACCAGACCTCACGACGTCTGATTTTTTCAGTGGGGATACGATAAAGATCGAGTCTTTAAACCTCCTCTGCCGACGAATATTCTTGGACTTCAGAGCCACCTTCCTAAGCATCAGTGATGAGATATTGGAGCGTGTTTGAAAAGAAATAGGCTATCGGGTGAATATGTGTCGAGTGACTAAGGGCGTCTATATTGAGCATTTGTAATGTATGAAAAAGAAACTGAATTCCAGTTCACTAAGTATGGACCACAAATAAAGTTCATATTTCTAAGTCAATTACCCCGCGTGTTCTGATTTTTTAAACCCCAACAATCATTTTGAATAATCCTGTATGTATTGCGGTGAGTCTCATCGACTTCCGCTCGCCCCAACTCACTCCTTTGTCACAGGAAATGAAATGCCAGCGCACGAAAAGCTATACATCGGCAATTTGGCATGGCCATGAGCAGAAGGCGCGCCCGCGCGCATCCGCCACCCCCAAACCCTCGGCCAAACGAACCGTTTTGCAAAGCGGAAAAGTCCCTCCCAACCCCCCGACTCATTCTTTGTTCCAGCCGATCGTCGGATGAGGCAGCGGAACAGTCGTGTTAAGAACCCAGTAGCCCTTGCCCGTACAAATCCCAAAGGGTGTTCAATAAAACAATCATGAGGGCGGGCGACAGCGGTTTTATACGATGCGTAGGCACCCCGCGCCTACAGTGCACGAAAGGTAACGAATTAAAATACACAGAAAAGCACGTCGCCAAGAGCAGAGATTACCTCCACTAGTTAGCGAGAAGAACCGATAGAATGTTCGAGAAGCACGCACCGTCACGCACCGTTTTGGTGATAGCCCGCTTCCTGTGTGGACGTGATTGGCCGCTGACGTCTCTGGCGCAGTCTATGAGAGCCCTGGGTCCTCCTCGCTGCATACGGGGCCACTTCGTCGGTGTTTTGGGGGACCTCTTCCGACGCGTACGACCGGTAAAAGACCACGATCGTGTAATGTGGTTACCTCACCAATGTGAGGTAACATCATCATCATCACAAGTTTTGGAAATTCATTCACCCCCGTTAGTTAAATAGTAATTTGGACTGGAAATTTGCTGTGGAGAGAGAAGACTAGTGCATTCAAAGAATGTTTCAAATTAATAATTGTGTTCCCGCCGCTCAAACGGGCTGCTCTTGAGAATATTCCATCTTTGTATATCATTGTGGTAACTAGTAAACAAAATGCAATCCTTCGACCCAGAGCGTTCACCGATAAACCGACACACTTTATGGGTGTCGGCAAACCTCCTTTTGCAGTGGTGACGCCTCAGTATTATCACAATATTTGTATATATAAACAAATAGCTCAGGAGGTCAACGCGCAAGGTCAATGACCCTAAGACTTCACAACAGCTATTGCTACCGAATGTTATCCCGCATGTACCGTACCATACCAGCTGCATCAGCACCACCCATTGAAAGCTGGGGTAGTTGACCTTGTGAGGCCACAACAGCTGATTACGTCACGTGTTTACAGTGTTTGGCATCAGACATCGGATGTGATGTCACTTCCAGACCAAGACAACCACTTTCCTTACTGGGGAATGACGTTGACCTTATGATGTCACCACTACTGACATCACGTGTTTACACCAGATGTCAACACAGGTCGCCATGTTTGTTTACATTTGAAAAGTGCTGGCGTAGTGGTCGAAAAATCTACCATTCCACAATACTCCGGTTTTCGATTTTACACAACAAATTAGTGATTTTAAGCAACAGTTTGACTGGATTTTTTAGTCATTTCAAGAATTTGCTTTAACTTCATGGAGGCCCACTTTCTGTACATCGTGGTAACATGAAAACTGCCACCATAGCCTTGCGCCGCTCCCCCCTGCCAAGTTGTACTCGGTACTGGTGTTCGCCTGAATCATTTCTGCGCCGACCATACTGGCGTTTTCTCGAGTTAACGCCAGACGACTCCTAACTAGAAAGGTTTTGCGTTCTGCAATCCACTGCAAACTCGATCTTCTGCGCATGCATATGCGCACAAACATGCTACAAAACTCGAACAGTGACTCGCATCATTTTTGTGCAACAGTGCATGTGCAGAAGATTGAGATTGCAGTCGATTGCTGCACGCTACACCGTGCAAAAAATTAATGGGGGAAATGCAAAAAGTCCCAATAATTATAATGACGTTAGGAAAATCAATAACGCCATTTAAATAACAATATTTCATCCACTCTTGTTAATAAACACTTTGTGATGCAATACATGTGCATAGAAGAGTATATGAACACTTCGGCGTCGTATTTTTTTATTTACAAACAGGTAATTGCTTGTAGGAATTTAAAAGTGATGATTACATGTCTAATAATATTACAATAACACCGCCAACCATGCCCTAGGCATTTGTTAAAGCAGCTTGTCGAAATTTTGTTAATTTTCTTAATTTATTGAGAGTTTCTTTAAGTTTCGTGGTCTGGACAGATATCAATTGTATACGAATTTCATTAGCTTGTATTTGATTTTCCAAATCTTGTTCAGGATTTCCATGCACTGAAATAAGTAAGATAACAGAGGAAAACAAATATTATTTCACTCCTCTTACGGAAAACAAACATTTGAACTTGTACATACGGTGCCAAAATGCCTTGTTTGTCTTTAGCATACAATAAGATAACATTAGCTTATTTAACCATTAACTCTCATACAAAATCATTACCTTTCACTTCAACTTTGGAGGTTATATCAGGGTTTTCAATTAACAGCTGCTCATGAAGTTTTTTTTCCTCCAATTCTTTCTCCAGGGTTTCATTAGATTTCATCAAGATCATAATTCTTTGTTCTGCTTCTTTTAAGCTGTTTTGAAGTTGTTGGTTGCGACAAATTAAGTCCTATTTTTTAGGAAAGAAATCTTGTGAACGCTATTTTCAGAATATTATAAATCACAGAACCATATATGTATGTACAAATTTATTTACGTTTCAAAACTACTTCACATATTGTGACATATCACAATAAGGTAAATAGTGGCGGCCGTGGAGTTGCGAATTAGGAGGGGCGGCATGTATGTCCGAAATATCACATACATTTTTCTTTAAAATATTTCTTGAACGACCAAACGAATAGCATTTAGAGTACAACCGATTTGCAAGTGTTGGGAATTTAACCTTGTCTAAGACAACTTTTAAGTCGATAATGGAAGATACATTTGCGCTTCCGCGAAAATAAGAATATAAAAAATTCCAGCACACAAAACAAATTTATGAAATCAGATAAAAAGAATCGACCAAATACAACTGATGAGTTAGTGAACAATTACTCAGCGAGAGAAGTAAAAGGTTAAAGTTTAACAAAGCGTTTTAGTCATATGGAAAGAAGCAATCGCTTATGAGAAATAGTAGTTCCTACTTGTACTAATGAGCAATTGCTCTGGAGTACTAACTCATTTTTATTCATATCACCCACTTTTTCTTATATTATAAAGTAGGTACAACTTGTAATGTGAAAATAAATGACGCGCCAGTGATTGAAAAAAATTGTGAGTAGTTTTTTGAAGAATCAAAAGGTTTAATCAAATTGGTCCTTTTTACCTCCTCACCCTTACGTAGTAAGAAGAGAAAGTGTTATAATCACGCACTTGAAATGGCTAATTTTCGGGAGAAAAACTCTTATTGTTTAACCGGTCTCCGGGAAAGAAAAACAGGATAAATCTTGTTCCTACGTATAGCAAGTTACGTTGGCAACTGTGACTAGGGCGCGGCATCTCCCGGAGAGCCAAGTACATTTATTGCCTGCCGCGGAATCCTCCGCTTTCAATAACTGCTGCTGTTATACTATGAACAAAAAACATACCTGACTTTCTTCAACTTTTTCATTCATTTTTTGTAATTCTGTTGACATGGTCTCATACTTTTCTTTCTCGTCTTTTATTATTGTTTCTCGTTTTGCTAATTCATCCTTTAAAAAAAGGTCATTTTCTTGCAACTGTTGTCGTAGATTCTGGAGTTCTTTTTTTAAGTACATTTTCTCATTCTCAAAGGTTGACACAAAACACCTCCATTTCTCGATAATGTCCCCATAGTCTTTGGTGTTTGAAATGTTTATTCCAAACTCATAAGCAATTTTTTGTAGTTCTGCCTCCAAGGAAGAATTAGTATACGTTGCTTTTGTTAGGGCACTTTCTGGAAGAAGAAAAACAAATATAACAGAAAATTTAGTGTTTTGTAATTTAAGAGAGGAAAATCGAAGTTAAAATTGTTCAGGCCCAAAAAATTAATTGAAATCAACAATTCAAGAGCGATGAAGCAGGCCCATATTTTTTAAAACTCTATGGTAAGAACAAAAACATAAAATAACATGCACAAATTGTACATCCACAAAAAATAATTGTACTCAACAATTCAAAAGGGATGAAGCAGGCCTATATTTTATTAAAACCCTATGGTAAGAACAAAAACATATAACATTGCTCAAGACATATAAAATATTTATTTTAAACACGTTTAATCAGTGGCGGCTGATGAGTTCAAACGCTGGCACTTTAAAGAATTAACCGTTTTAAAGTTATAGGCTTGAAATATTTGCGAGCAGACTGTACAAAAGAAGATTTATTACGATCTAAAATGTTTTTGTTCAAAATATGGAATATGTTGATCTTGAAGGCTAAAGTCACGATCTGAGCTGTTCGAGTGACGCCTCGTCGAAGGCTGAGGTGCCGACGTTTTGAGGAACTATCGTGGTCTTCTTCAAGGCTGTAGTGCGCCAGGATGTTGGGCGCTCCGGTTTTTGTGTTTAAATGGAGTGGCTAGGTGACCGGCCAATCAGGAGGGGGCCGGCCAGGCTTTGATCGACCCTTGTGACGTGTCCTAAACCCTACCCCTATCCCAATTCCTTCCCAATTCTATTGGGTAGTGACGCAGGACCGCGTGATACGAGGCACGTACTCGGAGATGGTACCTGGAGGTCCTCTTGACAACTGACCGCGACGTAAAATATGATAACTGACTGAACACAAGACGTAAAATAAAATGATAACGGAGGACTATGCCATAGTAAATGTTAACAGAGTATTACTCCACAGTGCGCTCAATGCTCTTTAGGGGCTATGAGTCAGGTGGCGACAATGTAGATGCAAGTGGGTGATCTGGGCTGGGACAATTCCGTGGGGTTCCATGTAACGTATATACCCTATTCTTGTAGAAAGGTTTTTAAAATCGCAGAGAAGAACCAGATCGACCGGGGAATATTATTTGTGAAAAAAAGTCGTACGTATGTCTTAGGCGCTAGCGGTGTTCACAGACTGGCAACCGAGGACCGCTAGACGAACAGACGTTTTGCCGTCAAAAGGTTTTTCGGTATCAAGGACCCACAAAACAGGAATTCAGGCTACAAGACGTGTTAGAGGATTTTTTCTTAAATTAGTAACTGGATTAATCCACTTTTTCGTTATCAGAGCCCGGCGATGATTTTTTTCTTCCGAAAATCCGCCCTTTACTCGCGCAGCATTACGTAATTTTCGCTATACTACGAATATTACTCCGCATATACGTATGTATACGGAAAAATAAAAAGCAAGCAATTTACACAATTCGACGTCTTCTTTATTTCTCGTTAAATTTTTATTTTTGAAGAAATTTATACATTTATTTTGAAAAAATAAACAATTTACATGTTTCTGGAGTGTTTCTATGTTTCTGCAATGCAAATTTTTGCCTAGAAAGC